TTATGAGTGTGTTCAGCCCGCCTTTCTCTTCATACCTGTCTCCTTTTGCATGTCTCAACCTTTCATCCCGCCTGTGTCACTCCATGTGTTTTCCTTGTCTATAAATCCTCATCCTCCTCCCCTTTATTTCCCTCATTACCCCTCAGTTCAAGCCTGTCTGTCTCCCTGTACTCGTCTTCCTCTCTCCTCTGAAAAGAGTAACCTACTTAGAGCACAGCTGTCTGATAAATAATGGAGAAGAGACAGTTACTATCAGCGTCTCCATCAGCAGGAGCTCTCTTTTGATCTCTGCTCCTCTCCTCTTCCGTATGACTTTTCTCCAAAGTTCCTCCTCACCTCCTTTCAATCCCTTTCCTCTATTTAATTCCTTTTGACAGTTTGTGTCAGAAAATTAGGACCAAGTATACCAAGAAAAATAAATAATGCAATATGTGATTTTCATGGTTTGATTAATTTCTCACAATTCCGACATTTCATCAGGAAAAAAAAAAAACATTTTAACCAGATCTCGACTATACTGCAAAAAGGAGAGCTGGCTTACGCAACCTCAGACTCAGATATCTCCATTTCCTCAGTTGTACATCATATTTTGAAGGAGTATAAAGATTTTTCCTGTACGGTGGCTCAGGTCTGTTAAGTCAACAGAGCGCAAGATGCTAATCGCCAACAGGTGTAACGTAGAGTTTCTTCTCACAGAATGCTACCACGACGTAAATCAGTAGAGACCCACGAAGAATCCCAAATTTGTGTCATCTGACTTAAAAAAAAAATGGTCTGATTATTTCTTTCACAAAATATCTTTCACAGCGTTTGTTGATGGGAAAGGTACATTTGATTCGTCTGCCTTCAGCTGTCTGTTAACATTTCTGTTAGAAAGCAGAATAATGTATCATGATCAGGTGGTTATGCAAATTATTATTATTCGAAAGACCATCCAAAGATAATACATTGCTTATCTTGAGGAAGTCGGATGTCGGAGCTGGCAATGACGTTACACCCAAGTTGACGGCATTCCAGTTAACAAGTCGGATAACCAAGATGTTACTGTTACTGTTAGCTGTTGTTTACAATTGTCAGCTGTCGTTAGCCGTTGTCAGTTGTTGGTGGTTGTCAGCTGTTGTTAGTTGTATTTAGCTATAACAGTTGTAAACAACGCACAACACAGTATTAACTCTAGAAACACCATAGCACCGTTTTCACAGTTAGACGTTGAGCAGCAACATATACCACTTATTAAATTTCACAAAAAAAACAGAAGTGCTAAAAAAAAAATACATCACTAGAGCTTTGACTGTTACTCTTTACTGTTGATGCACTGTGCTGCCATCTTGAATTATGACGTTGTCATCAAGTCGGGGTTGGCGAGGATCGTCCGACTTTCTGAGTTGGAAATCCCATTTCAGGTGGACTTTCCAGTTTAATTTTTGACTCAGAGCTTGGACTTCCGAGTACAACTGGAATGCAGCATAGTTCTTATCACCTCCTGCTTACTATTCGTTTTCCTTTACTTAGTGAAGACACTAGTAGTTTGGATTTAAACAACATATATTATTAACCTGCTTGCTCTGTTTAAAGTAACATCAGTTACAGAGCATCTGTCTATGTTTCACAAGTTCTCTTAGCATCTTAGATCTGAAAACCAAACAACACCACTCAGCTTCCATCAAAAATAAAATCTAAATTTATGAGAAAACACAATGGTTTGTTAGCATCTTCACCCATAATGAGTTTGCCACAGACACCTTGTTTTCAGAATATGGTGACTACTGGCCCAAAAAATCAACATGATGGAGGAAGTTCAACTCAAGCTTCAAGCAGCAGTCAAAAAGAGAAACATGTGATTCAGTTTTGCTCCAAAGAAAAAAAACAGCGGGAATGCTGTGAGATCTGATTTGGTAAGTTAGCCTCAGTTTGCTTTGCAGCTAGATAATCTTTTCACAAAGTGGTGCACAGTGAAGGTGGTTGCTTTTGTTCTCCTAAGCTTCCCAAAACAACAAAACAGCTCAAACTTGGTCGAGCACTCTTCAAAACACTTCAGTATCTTTTTGCATACTTCCGTGAAAGTCAACCACAGTTCATCTATTTGAACGTCACCCCCCACACCATTGCCTGTCAGTTCGTCTTCATTGAGCTCCTGGTGGGGGATTTAAAAGTCGGTTTTATGTATTCAGGCCTTGTGGATCCCCTGCTGCGTTCACATTTAGCATACGCTCACCCTAATCTCCATTTTCCGCTTCATCCTCCTCTTCCCCTTGTTTCTACTCACCCTCCACAAACCCATTCTCACCTACCTCCCGCCTCTGTGGTTTCCATAGATTTAATGTCCTGTATCGATTAACAGGCAGCAATGAATGTGATGTGTTTCCCCTTTCTCCACTCATATTTTAAACAGCAGCTAATCAATACAGGGAGGCCACACAGCAAGGACATGGGCTCATTTAAAGCAAGGGATTCAAAGGCAGCTCTTTTGTGTTTTTGGGGATGTAATAATGTTGTGTTTTTGGTCCCCTTTTTGTGATGGGTCACTGCAAATAAATTCAAAGACATTGTCTTTATCACATCATCAATCCATCAAACCGTCACGATCAAACCACAGCTACAGATTTCCATATCACAGATCACAGTCATTTACTCCAGAAAACAACCGTGTTTGATTTATTCTGATGGAAAAATACAGCAAATAAAATTCATGGATGTGTGTCTGCTTAGAGCCTCTGTAGTTTGCAGCAAAATGTGAAGCTGCTGGGATAAAAGTCAGTCCCTCTGAGCCTGAGGCAAAAGGTAGATGGACAGTACTTTTCCAGTCATCAACCCACTTAAAGCGCTTTTGCACTAAATGTCACCTTCACCTTTCACACAAACATCTATGCACTGAAAGATTGAGATTACAGATCAAGTCATTTATACACATTCATACCGTTCTTTTGGGATGGGATTTTTATCCTAACTTGTGCAATACAAAACTCCAAATGCTGATTTACAAGAATATTTCAATTTAGAAATTAATTTGCACTCCAAGCAGATTCCCCTTCTAATGTGACCTACTGTGGCCTCAACATCAGGACTCCTAAAGGTGATGCTGAAGACATCAACTAACCACTAATGCCACTTTTTTCATTGACAACGCTTATTCCTACAGTTTCAGAGCACTTTTTACTGGTACTAACTGTTGCTTGGAAATCAAAGATGTCCGAAAATCCAAGCAGAAATAAGATTATTTAGCAATCGGATTTAAGATTGAAGTGCTACCTTGCTCACCCCTCCTGTTGGTGAAGCAATGTTGGCCTTCAAGGACAAGAAGCTTGTGATGCCAGATTAAATATATGTACATGAAATTTTTATTAGATAGTATCATAGACTGTATATAGAATGGACTCCGTCTGCCTCCTGGGTGGCTGGGTGAGGCCACTCTGAGAACAGCACCCTCTGGTGACAGGCTGCAGTATAGGTCATAAACCCCGCCTCCGCCAGCAAAGCTTATGGAGCAGTGGACCAACTTTAGAAATTTATTACACAGAACATAATTTTTTCCCCCCTGCTTGTGATGTTGACATGTAGTTATTGTGAGACTGGTTTGTGCTCAAGTCCTCTTTTTTTTCTGTACAGCTCCGTTTTGAAAGTTATTAGGGGGTTCATGTTTTCTATGATTGACACTTGATACAGCCTATGGGCTTACAAGTCTTATATATAGTCTATGGATAGTATATACAACAAGTTATGAGGTTAACTGTTTTAGCCCTAATGTAACCAACAGTTGTTTTGCTATATTTCATAGTGTGGTTCATTTTCTTGTCTCAAAATGATGTTTTGTTGATGTTATAAATATCTATGTAAAACCCAAGAATATAACTTACAACAAACACAAACTATTCCACTTTTCTCAAAGTATTCTCCGTTTTGACAGTGACTGCAACAGCACTGCTAGACTACCATAGGTCAAGAGGAGTCAAACAGCTCTTTGAAGACACGCGCAGGGCAGGTAGGTGGAGCTCGTGCGCAGCTGGTGTCACTCATCCAAGTACAGAGCGAGAGAGAGAGAGAAAGAGAGAGAGAGAGAGATCGTCGGGTACAGATCAGGGGTTACCACAGGACACTGCTGTCTGCTCGGCTGCCGGACATCAACAACAAGCAATAAGACGCGTTCAACTGCCCCTGATACCTCGACCTACCTCAATTTCAACCCTGGACGTTCACCTTTTTGGACATACAGCACCGACACATCTGTGACAGCGCGTACTCAGCATTAGTGTTACCGCGTTTCAGTGTTTTACTGTCGTCTCTGTGGACTGGAGCAGCGCGTTTCTTTGCACGGACTGGACCTTTCTACTTCTCCTTCACGACATTCATTCCAGCATACAGGGATTTAAGGACAAGCAGTTCCAGTTGTGGCATAAAGGAGCAATCTATCAACGAAGTGATAGTTCGTCTTCCAGGCTACATGGATTAGCAAGCGTTATGACAATTACATAATATTATTTGAGTTAGCGCAAAACTGCAACGACGGCGACCCATGACTTCTTCAACAGAGGCGCGGACGTCGAGGTCATTCTGAACTCTTCAAAAACTACAGTGTTTTAGCACGGTAAAGTAAACGTTACAGCATTTATTTGCTCTCTTTAATTACTGTTGCTTAGTAACGAACTCTTCGAACGCAGCCGTTAAGTTAATCGAACACTTGTAGCATTCGAATTGTAACGGTCAAAACAACGTTCGAACAGCCATTTAGCGCGTTCCTTAACAACAGAAAGGACGTTATCGACAAGGAAAACTGGAAAACTGGAAAACGGGAGATAGTATCCGAACTGCGCTCCTTGAAGAGCTGAAAGGTCACCGGGACCGGTCATTCCTTCTTCTCCTCCTCCTCCCGTCAGCCTGTTATGAAGATGTGAACTCTTTCCTCCCTCCCTTCCTCTTTCTCTCCTCACCGTCCACGAAGCTTTGATCTTTTTTTCCTCTCTATCTGCCACAAAGAGATCAAACGCGTCCCCCGCCTCTCGGGGATGTACGAAAGCGTGGATGTTGTGGGTTTTAGCCCCAGCCCGAGCAGCCCCAGTCCTGGTGGCTCTTTTCTGAGCATGGACTACTACCACAGACCTCCAGGACTCGGTCCTGAGAAGGGACTCCTGTCCGGTGTTGGAGGACTCCAGCGCCCTTTTGGGGGATCCCTGGTGACCGGCAGGCACTGGAGCGGATCCAGCCACTGTAAGTCCCGTTGATATTCATGATAGACTTGCACTTATACACAAAACAACAAGCGAGTATGCTACAATTAAACATGACAAATATTTCAGTGTTGCTGTTGAGATTTTTTGTCGCATTTTCCAAAGCAATACCAAGTTGAATTTTGGATGGCAATATCAACATGGGCTAAAATTAATTGTGAGGTAAAGGTGTGTTAGAGTAATCCAAGAATGAGGCTACTGCCTGCTTTGAACAGCTTGTTCAAGTAGTCACAGGAGACCTTCATGAGATATACTCAAATTGTGACATAAGTGATCACTTGGCTCCTCAAGTGAGCGTTAAAACATGTCTTACAAAGATTTTTTTTGTCGTTTTCCAAACTTTGCAGTTCAGATTTGGGGTATAAATTTATTTAGCCTATAATAAAAAAAAAACATAAATGAACCCAAGGAACATAACCTTGTAGCATGGCAACAGTGAAGGAGGGTTAACAAAGGCTTAAACGTGCCTTAAAGCTTGTGTGAGGAGTTTTTTTACATTTATGAAATAGACAAAAATGTATTTTGATGAAGACCATTAGTAACAAGATTAGCACTTCTTACATGGTGTTTTTAATGCCTCAAACTCTTGTGAAGAGGTGAGTGTCAACCAACCAACTTAAGAAACCTTTAGCTAATCTTTGTTTACTATTTCAGCACCAATATTCAGAGTACATTATACCTATGTCTGTCAGAAAACAGCTGAATGAGATTTCTTGCCTTGAGACACTACTGAGGTATGGGTTAAGGACAAATAAGCAATAACTTTTTTTTAAGCAGGGGTAACCAAAATTGACACAAACTCAAAGTTTTCTACAGGAGCTTTGAAGAGACAGTAGCTGAAATCAAGCACTAGGGACAGAGGTTCAAGTCAGGGTTTGCAAAGACACCTTTGAGGTTAGTAAAGAATTGTTGAGCTGTAAATTAGTTTAGGCTACTCCAAAGCTAACAGAAGGCTAAATATGCAGCCTGAAAACAAACATTAACCCCCCCCCTTGATTTGTTGAAAAATGTCAAACGTGTGCTGCGGGTACAATCATTGCTCTTTCTTTGATATTTGTTGTCAGCTTGAGGGATGAATGGAAGATCTGACTGTTTGCAACTGGGACACATACAGCCCCCTTGCTCAAGTATCAAGTGCCTCCTGGCACTTCATTTAGCCTTGTAGTGTTTTTGATGACATTCACTTGTACTCAGCAACCTGAGGATATTTTCTTTCTTACTTACAGCACTTGGAAGCTGTGATATTGCTGCTGATGGTATCCACAACATTAAAACCATCACAAAAAGGCATCTTATGTGCACATGATGTTTGACCTCTCTGTGCAAATTTGACAAAGAATAATTATAAAAGGAACCTGACTTTGGAACAAACTGATACAAAAGGGATTCATATTGAGGTTTCATGTTTGTTGCTTGTGATCACTAATAGGGACGCATGCAAGGATGTATGAATGTATGAATGAAGTCTGGATAATAACCAAAGTTTCACAATTAGGCCTAATGCATTTATTATGCATTCCTTAATTTCAGAATAATACTTATCCATTAAATTACATGAGAATTCTTGAGATATTTACGGGTCAATTATTGTGACTGTTAGCACAGAAGGTAAACGTACTTTCTGGTACAGTATTTTCTCTTTATATTTGATTACCCAACAAGTGAATGCTCTATTAAGTAACTGGCCACCAACGTATCATGACTTTAGTGTAGTGAGTTTGATGTGTTGATGTGTTTGACCCTTCGGCCCCATCTTTATGTGGCATGTTGGCAGACAGATGATTTTTTTAATCTTGAATAACTCTTTGGTCATACTTGGTAGACTCAGTGCCCCTACACCGTTCTTTGGCGCATACAAGACTTTGCTGCTTGGTCCCTCTGCTTTAGTAAAGCTAACATAGCATTGTCTACTGTAACCTCTTTGGCACAATAAGCTGGTGCAACACAGGTGTCACTTTGTCGATGTCCGATTCAGGTTGCTCTTGAGGAGTCCTTTGAATTTGAGGAAGTAAAACCTTCTTGATTTTATAAATTTAGCTTGAGGACAACTATTCAAGAAGTTTAACATCCTTTTTCATTGAATCTGACATATTTTAGAGCTTTATTTACTGCTGTGATTTACACAGGAAAGCCTGAATGGTTTGTGGAAGAGCAGTAAGAACTTGGCACTCTGCTCCTAAGGTCAGGAGGGTTAAATTTGGTAAATGAGTGCAGGCAGTTGATGACCTACTGAGCCCTTTTAGTCACATAATACACAGCGTAACACACCAACATGGGCAAGAGCTCTAATTCCCCTAATAACACTGCTTCAAATGTGGGCCCATTATACAACAGTTTGTTCTGAACAAGTAATCTGATTGGACAAGAAGCTTTCCATGAACACTCATGAAGAGTGTAACAGCTCTGAGACTTCAAACTTTGCCTGTCTCTGAACCACCAGGATTAAAACAGAAGCCTAGGCAGACATACTAAAGACTACAGTTCCTCAATGTTAACATGCCCAACTTTACAGCAGAATTAAAAGTAACAGGCTGCAGAACTAGTTGTGATTGAAAAATTCACTTAAAATATATTATAAAATCAGGAATAGAAATAGTGGGAGGAAGCAAGAAGTGGTATAAAATTATGACTGAGGGTTGTGATGGAGAAATCTACTAAATCGACAATGATGCATGAAGTAAGCACTTGGCAGGGTCTGAAATTATCCTTCTGACCCACCAGTATAGTTTGCAGGTAGATGATAAACTTTACCTGCAGAGCTTTTTCTCACTGGCCAAAATAATGAAAATGAATTATTAGATAATCAATTGAGTTTTGTGATACACTGTTGTTATTATAGGATTAATTTAAATACTGACATGTTAAATAACTGAAAATGTGGGTGAAGCAAAATTATCGTGTTTGATCCATTGTTGATTAATCAAACACAGTTTATTTAAAGTCTTGAACCAGACATAAAAGTGGTTGCATATGGGCAACTATGATACACAGTTTTTAATAATACTACTTTCCTGTACAAGCACTTTTCCTGCACATAGCCCTCTGAAATCCACTGGCCTTGTGGAAAATCTACCCACATTGGTGCTTGGTGGGTGTTAATTCCAGGCCCTGACTTTGCATATCAGGGTATGGGATACAATAGCGTTTAAGGACTCATGAATGTGAAAGAAAATGACTGAGAGTGAAAGGGCAGAAAATCTTAGTTTTGCGCTGTATTGAGTAACTTAACTGTTAGTGGAATTGTTAAGTTAAACGTGAATAATAAATGCTGATTATATAAAGAAGACTTGTTGTGAGGGTCCTGCTCACCCTGTCAGGGTTACAGTCTGTCATAACAACTCACTCTCTGTACACTGTGAGTCACTTACTGTTTGCGTTTTTTTACAGGCTACTCGTACAATTGTATTATGAAAGCAATGAGACTCCGATGACCATGTTGTTCTGTTGAGTATCAGCTCAGCTGTGATTAAATTCAGTGCCTGACCCGATGACCATATCAGGACCATCCAGCACAACAACACCCCATCTCATGAGATGTTACTTAACCATATTACCGTGTTTTCATTACATGTAATTGCATTATCAAGGGATTATGAGATGTACTTTATCAAAAAAAGCTACAACAAAGTTAGTAGTCTTATAGTAGTAACAGTTCTATGGTCTGTGATCGTCAAAAACCCACAGAGCATATTTTTCAGTAAGTGTGGCACCTTCCCACTCATTCTGACAGAACACACTTGGTGTTTGAGGCAGTCCTGATGAATAGTGGCATGACGCGGTGAAGGCGCTTTGTGGCAGTTAATCTCATCTTTGCTCAGTTATAAATCCAGAAACATAAACATCCTTCAAAGGTACTGGCAAATAGCATTTTGTGGTTATAAAATTTAAGATGTATTCAATAATAGTGACAGAAAATCAATAAGGTATCACAGAGATTTGCACAACCAGGATTACACAACTCAATTCAGTTTTTAACTTTTCTAGTTATTTCCGGTGATCTCATCATCATGTTTCAGTCTTTTTTTGCTCCACTATCATGTATCACATTTAAAAGATGACACCTCAAAAAAATAATACGTCAGTCTTAGCCAAGGTGACAAAACTACACATTTAACGACTATGTTAATGTGAATTTGAGTTTCTGATTACTGCAGTGCATGGACAGACTGTTGTGTCATCTATTTTGTAAAACACAAACTAAAGCATTTTGAAATCAGAGTAAAATGGGATCACTTTGATTCGTTGCAGGTTTAGCACAATTAAATACAAAGGATACACATTATCACCTGCATGTTATCAGTATTGGCAGATTAAAAATTATATAATCTGTCCATATAATCATTGGCCATAAAGATGACACATTAGTAGCACTGAGATGATGAAAGCTTGTGGGCTGTATGTAAGTATGAAGTGTAACAGGCAGCAGGCACATATCTGAATGTCTGAACCAGTCTATCTCTATTATATACCAAAACTGCATCGCAGACATTGTGTAATTAATTTTCAGCAACAGAATAAGAGTGACAGCAAATATTAAATACATCCTCTACTCTGACAAGTGTCAGCCTGTCACTGCAAGATATATTTAATTCTTCCATTATTGTGAGACAAAACTCAGTTTCTTTGTCTCTCTCCAAAGGGGAGACATCCTCATTGCTGCGGCCATTTGACAGCTAGCTAAAGCTACATCTGCGCATATAGTCAGGTCTGTCCGAAACAGCAGTTAGGCCCCCTACCACGGTTCTTCAAAACCAGGATAAGAGATATGGGTACAGTGTTTAGATTAGGGCCTGACCAATAGGGAATTTTTGGGGCCGATGCCAACACCTTTTGTTAGGGAGGAAAAAAAACCCAATTACCGATTAATCGGCTGATTTTTAAAATTCTTTATGAAGTTTTAAAATTTTGTAATATATCAACATATTTACTTTTACTTTTACTGCTGCTTTTGAGCCTTTCATGCACTTCTCAGTAACATTACCTACAGTAATATTTCACATATTTATCATGAATCAAACTCAGACCAGAAAAGGGTTTTCAACTAGTTCAGATGCACAAAACATGAGATACTTGAAAAGAAACAATCAAAAACCAGGATACCCTAATCCATGTAAATGAATCAGAACCCAAACCTAGCTGCAATTCAAAGCGCAGAGATTTTCCTGCTTTCATTTAAGTTGCATGCCAAACATATGCATTATCATGAAGAATGGTGCCAATCCCAGCGTGCACTTGGAGAGAGGCATGTGCACCTTGAGCAGGTCTTTGGTCTATCACAAGACCAGCACACAAACACATTTGACTGCATGCTGTGAGCTGGTGTTGCCACCCTGCTCCAGTGTCACATGCTGCAGACAGTCAGCCTCAGTCAGACAGTGACTGAAGTGTGATGTCACTGTGACATCGCCCTCGCACGACCGGGCTGAAGTCATAAAGAGAGAGAGCGCAGGGTGGTGAGAAACAGAGGGACAGAAAGATAAATAGAAGTAAGAGGGAAGTGCTCGTAAATTCAGGCTGTAAAGATAGGACTGCCCCCAGTGTGTGTGTGTGTGTGCGTGTGTGTGTGTGTGTGTTCATGCATGCCTGGAATGAACAATCTAACAGGTTAAAGGTCAAAGGTTATACTCCAACGCACAGGCAAGCACACATTCAGTCTCTGCTTCAGCAGCATGTACACAGTGGCTGGGGGATTGTGCTTCTCTTTTTTGTTTGTGTGTGTGCGTTTGTGTGTGTTTGTGTGTGAGTGTGTTTGGGTGTGATCCAGAGCAATGACTCACTGACAATTGGGAAGTGACCTACATCCCTCCCTCTCTTTATTTCTTCTTCTATCTGCCTCTTTCTTTCCTGTGTCAGCTGCCCAGTCATCATTTCCCTGCACTGAATGACCTCTCTCTCTGCCTATTGGACGAACACACACACACACACATTGATGCACACACACACACACACACACACACACACACACACACACACACACACACACACACTCACTCTCCCTCACACTTTGTCTGGGAATGTGAGGGTATACTGACTAAGTTTGACCTGAGTGTGAGTGTGTGAAAAGGGGAGGAGGTGGATGGTTGTGTGTCAGGGTTTGTATCTGTAAGATGTCTGTGTTTCTGAGGGGTTGTGTGACTATTAGTGTGTGTGTTAGTGTGCGTATGGGTTCACACGGCCATCAGATAAATATTAAAAGAGTGGCAGTGGAAAGCTTGTTATTAATTCATTCCTTTTAGAAAGTCCTCTGGCAGGCGGGTCTTTGTATGTTTTCCACCACACAGTGCTCATGTCACAGTGAGCATCTTTTATATTCATTAGAGACACGACAAAGAGGATAGAGAAAATACTAACAAAGGAGGTTGAAAATCTGTACACTTGAGATTCTAATCAAATCAGTTCGAGAAAAAAGAAAATTGGCACCTTTTATAGGTCTTGAAGAATGACTTGCAGGATCTCTGACTGCTGTGGCTTAAAAGAAGTGTACAGACAACACAGTTGAGGATGTGCTATCAGCTCTTTCCCATCCAGATATGATACCTGCCTGGCCTGCCAAAAAATAATAGCTAACCACTTGCGCTTTTTTAATTTTAATCAATAAACGTAGTGATGTGCACATGTAGATGACTAAACATTGTCACCCATGCTAGTTTGTACCAGAATTACTGGTTAGGATTAAGCTGCACTCCAGTTGTACTCGGAAGTCGGAATTTCCTCACCAATCCTCGCGTGGAAGCTAACCTACAAGAAGAACTGATGGCTGGTGGTACGAACTCTGCTTGTGTTAGCCTCACTTAAAGTTATTTTGACTCTGAGATTCCATCTTTGGCCAATCAACAATTCTGACTGTTAGGCTCTTATTTAACTTATGCTGCATTCGAGTTACCTCGGAAGTCAAATGTTGGAGCTGAAAATGAAATCACACTCAAGTTACCAGCGTTTTAGTTACCAAGTCAGAAAAAAGCAAAATCGGAGGCGGAAACAAGATGGCTACATCCATCCAAACGCTGGTAACTTGGGTGTGATTTCATTTTCAGCTCCGACATTTGACCTCCAAGGTAACTCAAACGCTGCATTAGCTTTAAACAAGTTGGTCTGTTTTAGGGAGGAACTAAAACCTGGTTCTATGAAGGATCAGGTTCCATGTTTTTCCAAACTTGGAAATTAGAGTATTTGAACTGATCAATGATAGCTTGTGGCTCATACAAGGTAGCATAATATTACAAGCTGAGTCAATTAGATCAAACCACTGGTGCACAACCACATATTGATTGCCTGACAACATTTGAACATAACATATTGTAAGGCAAAGGCAATTGAACTACATAAAGAGGAATTTTGGTGCTTGCAAAGATGGCTAAAGTAGGATGAGCTTCAAAGGTTGGCTACATTTTACCAAAGCTAAAGATTAAGTGGAAGGCAATTGAAGTTAGACTTGATAACGGCATCAGTATCAATACAAACAAATCCTCATCCTAAACACGGCATGTTTTGAAGATGCAGAGTTCCTCTTGAGCTTCGTTACCCCTGGTGTCAAAGTGTCCTGTCTAATTAGGGTGTCCTCCATCTGTGCAATCATGTGATACATTATGTGTTTTGTCATCAGTTAATCACTTGGTATTTGTCAAGCACTGAAGACGACTTCCCCCCTTCAGACAGAGCCACAAAACGCATGTGTTTTCAGGAATTAGATGGAAATGTGTGTGTTTTTGTGTCAACACAGGCATAACATCGCAGGTCATGCATGCATGTAAACTGGTGGTAAAAGATATTTTTGTATAACAGTAAAAATGAACATGAATGAAGTTTGGGCTGTTGTGGCCTCGACAGAGGATTGCAGAAAGCTTTGACCAAACTAAAGGTAGTGTACGAGAGTCAATCTCTCCTTTGTCTTTTGTTAACTCCTTTAGAAGAGCTGGTTACAAAGGTAGTCCTCATTTCATTTGCTGCAAATAAACTCCTAACATTGCCCAATCGATAACGTCCTATGCACTAAAATCCTGTAACAGCGCTGGAACAGTCCGTTGTGATATTGGTGTCCCAGACTGTTATTACACATTGCAGTACGTGATAGTTGAAGTAACACACATTCACTCGGACATGCATGACACCCACTAAGATGTTCCGCCTGCTAGCTCCGTCACTACACATCGCCACTTTCTTCCCTCTAATCTGCCTCTGTTTATACCTCCGAGAGTCAGAGAAGGAACCACTTCGCCCCACCATTACGCATCCATGCAGTGCACATTGCAGAGGTGCAAATATCCCTCCTTGAAATGGCAGAATGTAGACACCCAGTGTAAATACTTCATTTCTTCCCATTTTTCTGCTGGTCTTTAGCTTTCCTGTCCAACAAAGAGTAAAAAAGATGAAATAATAACCTTGCCAAAATGAAATCAGCCCATCTACTAGTCATAATCAACCAGCTGTGTTCTCCAGCAAATCTCACCACATTAACTTTGTTGATGGCCATAGTTTTCATCTTTAGTCTGTCTTAAGTTAACACACTGGTGTAGGATCCCAAATTTGAGGGAATAACAGGTAGAAATGTAATGCAATAAATTACATGTACAGCCTTTAGTAACATTTGATACTTCCGAAAGATTTCCTATTAAAGGATTACATCACAGGTCATGACACAGATGCATTTGTTCTTGCGATATTTCATTGTAACAGCAATCTAATACCAAAAAACATGTTTAAAACTTGACAATTGCAATTTCAACAAAAAGCTAATGCAGAATCAGACACTTTTGTAAGTAAAAACCTCCAAAAAAGCTAAAAGAGCAGGAACTGATCATTGTGGCTAAGCTGTTTGTCCTCAACAGTAATGTGAAAGAGATTTTTTATTATGTAGTGAACTATCAAGGGGAGTGTTTCACTACGATGATTAGAGGCTGGTCTCTAAGCAGATGGAGCACTCCCTCTATTCAGGAATTGTCTGCTGGCATAAATCCAGGACCGCCTGGGGAGACCACTGAACATTATTCTACATCAGATTTGAAAAACAGCTTAACCCGACACTGGCTAACATTCAACTGAAGTGACCTGAGGATGCAGTCTGGCCGCTCTGCCTGGCCGAGACCATGCAGTGAACCTCAGGATTACGGTGAATGTAGAGAAGTATTTTTCTGTTTACCTTGTTTTCGTATGTAGGAACACAAGGGAATGCTCTTAGGGTTGCGTGTCTTTTTCATTACTCTGCTAATAACATAAATCTGTCCTTCCTGTCCACCTTGGGAAGGCTTAGATAGAAGATCCAGACAGTGATAATAAGAGCGGCGTGGAGGAGGGGGTCTTTTACTGAAGATCCATACAACTGAAATAGTGCTCCACAGCTTGCTGGTGACTGGTCTTACTGCTCATATTCAGTCATGATATGCTCTGCCACATCTCTACTTTCTAGCTGCTGACAACACTGTCAAACAAAGAGTCACACACAGTGAACAACAACAGAACAACTCATAGAGTTACAATCCTCCTCTACACCAACTGTTAAACAGAATTCAGTAGAATTATTTTGTGTAATAAAACACAGTATAAAACATGGTCAATATGCTTTTCAATAGTCGGCACTCTGCCATGTTGACTATATGAATAGCCAATGAAAAGGGTTCACTCTGAACCAATCATTTGCGGAATTAGAACCAAGTCGCAAACAACTGCGTAGTAGCAGGCTGCAGCTACACGCAACCATAGCACTTTAACAGTCTACCATTCAGTCCGCTTTCACTAGCGCAACACCTTACGACAAAACGTAGAAGAGACACAGAGACCTCACAGATAGCTTATTGTATTGCAAAAGACATGCCACCAATAAGCACTGTTAAATTTCATTTTTTTAATCTCGTGATATATATAGATATGAACTGATATTAAAAAATATATCGTGATAAACTTTTTCCTATATCACCCAGCCCTACACAACACTGAGTTACAAGAGGAGTGGGGAAGACTGCTTTTGCAGGGTTTATAGGGAGAAATTCACATTAAAACAACAATGAAAACAAATGCCTTTTCCCCATCACTTAAGGGGTATGACACAGACATGCATAATCACTACAAATAACACACAAAGTGAAATGTTGTGACGGCCCCCTAACTCTACACACAGGGAAACAGGTAAATAATTATTTTAACAGGAGTCTCTCTCTCTGTGCAGCAGGTTTTCAACGATGTGCTGTCTTTGTCACTCCTATGCACAATCATATAATAATAGCAGGCAATTTATTTAAATTTTTGAATTAAAAACTTTGGTTTAAAGGGATTGCTAAATTAATTTAGGGTCAAACACACCATAACATCGAGTTAGACACCCCCTAAGAGATGAATGTTGCAGACCGTTTGCTTCTCTAGTTATACCAACTTTAGTAACGACCGCAGGATAGCAATACACAGCGGTCTGAGGAGCCAAACACAAACCTCAACCAAAACGCCACTCTATAGCCACAAATAATGCTCAGAACAGCACCTAACTTCATCAACAGTACATATAGGGTCCCAGCCACAGTACTAGCCATCAAACATCTTTTTAACTTTGCCTGATTTATTTAGCAAAGAGACTAAACACAACTCACCTACTCTCTTCCAGCAGCCACTTGTTTGCTCTGAGACCTCGGGCCAGTCCATTACAGACTGCTGGGGGATGACACAGCTCAAGGTTAGATTCATCAATAAATGTAATCCCCAGAGTGGCCCAAGGTAGCATCAAGGCGGCCTGTAAACTTGAGGTGCGCACTCCATCTACAGGTTGCAAATATCAAAAGAGCATAAGCGTCATCAAAGAGCAAAGGAGCAGCCATCACATTCTTCAATGACAGTTTTCACAACAATGAAGCACGTGCTCTTTCTCTTGATTTAGGTACCTGCTCTGTTTTTCTAATGCTGTGTCATTCACACCAATAATGCAGCCAATGACAAACTCAGTCAACAACCAAACCCACTAACAAGCACAACTCTTGAGGATTAATCTGTTGTTTTTTTCTAAGGTAATTTGAGGTTTTAATACTCAGAGTTGAATTAATTTGTCCTCAATTAAAACTTGTTTTAATTTTTTTTTTGTCAACTAGTCATGCTGTTTCTCTGTTATATGTGCAGAAAACGATACCCTCGTCCGTTATGATACTTCACCAGACATCTTCATATGGCCGACTTTCAGACAAGCCTCAGCCCTAATCTCTCCTCCTCATTTCTTTCTCTCCTTTTCTGTGTAAACAGAGCAGAGCAGCAGAGGGGAATGAGTCTCCCCCATGGAGGAATGTCTGGTATGGCTACTAAAGCAGGGGGAGGGGAGGGCTGAGCGTGTGTGTATTGGTGTGGAAGTGTGTTAGGTTAGAGGTTAGAGGGGGCAGAGTGAGAGATAGAGAGAGAAGCAGGGGAGTTGTGGATGTTCCTGGTATCTTAGATTGAATGAATGGGGTGTTAAAACGCTTCAGAGTCAGGTCTGTGGATAAAAGGGACTGAATATTATTAAATGGGCTCTGATGTAAAATTAGCAGCTAGATGTTATGTGTTTATGTAGCACTAAGCTAGTATAGGCCAGCTAACTCTTCTCCACTGTTAAAGTTAAAGGTACAGTTATTAAAAAGAATTATAGCTCTCCTTACCTGATTTTATTTGATCAGTAGGTTGTGATTATATCATTTCATGGATGTTTGAATTCTTATTAGGGAATGCATGTAGGTGATATAAGCTGTCAGGGGCTTAAAACTGCTGCTTAATTCCCGTACAGACTCCAGCTGAGCAGGGATAGAGATGGCTGCAAAGGGAGAGATTGCAAAAGATGAAATATTTCCTGCAGCCATATGATGAATCACAACTTAATTTTTTTAGCAAAAGTTTTGTATATGTAGTTCACGTTACTTCTACACCAAAGTACTCTCCCAGACACAACTTCAAAATAAAAGTATTGTGTAGAAACAAGAGGAATCCTACCAATGAAAAAATAGATCAGGCTTTTGCTTTGAAAAGCTTTTCCAGAGGTACAATCACAATAATTTTTTCATGGCTAATACCATACATAGTTACATCAGCTGTGTATGCTATTAGCTACGAATAATCTTAAGGTTCATACTGTTCTTGTTATTAATGTTATTCCCAGCTCCGACATCTGACTTATGAGGTAACTCCAACACAGCTTTAGTTCATCTTTTTTGGTGTGTATTTGGTTGAAATCTGTGAAGATCTTGGAAAAAATCTTGCAAGACGTGATGCTCATGCTATATTGTGCTACATGTGCATCTAGAACCAAGCCATTCCAAGGCTGTGATGCCGACAAGATCCTTCCTGTGTGAAATGCCATGGTAGGATACAGTCTGCTGCGGATACACAACCAAGATCAAGGTTTACCATACCAAACTGTCCTGAACTAAACCAGACCACTTGTTGGAAACACACCAGAGGCAGTACAGAGTCCGAATGGTATGCTTACCCAAACAGAAGGGTGCCAATAAAGGAGGACGCCATGGCTCTGTTATCCTAACATTGGTGGATAATGCAAATAGTTGTGTACTCTATCACACCAAACCAAACCTGCTACTTAGTGGAAACAACCATGAATGTTTCTGTAATCGAGACCAGACTGATAAGATCACTGCCCAGATTTTTCACATCACAAAACCAACAAGTGATGCAGAGATTAGAGCTCAAAATGGTGTTAAAGGCATGGATTAAAGTAGACATGGAATTTTTTAAAGCAGATGATGAAGTCAGGGTGTAGGAGGGAATGCTCCCTGCTGGTTGTGACGCTGTCACACACTTCATGTAGGTCAGGAGTGATAACTGAGAGGGAGTACTTGCATGAGTTAGACCGGGAAAATCCTCCTTTTTAATACGTCCACAAAAAAAGTCAGTATTTCAAAGAATTAGTGACATCTTAGTCACCACGGTTACATAAGTGTGACCAATCCCTGTGCACTCTGTGCAACCCCAGTTTACCCAATCACTTCAACTTTTGATCTGACTTTCAATCATTATGAACATTTAAGGCTGAATGGTAGAAACGTCTGCCAGTGCAGATCTGAGAGTGTTTCTGCAGTGTGATAGTTAATCTCCTCTCCTGTTGTCACTGGTTTTATAACAGCACAGGACTGTAATCATCACGTCACTCTAGGACTCTCCTCTTCTCACTAGAACCTTGTCAGTGTCAGGATTCAGATCACTTATTTTTAAAACTCTTCATGGTTTGACACCATTGTATTCGTCTCAGTTGCTGCACTGACGTGTTCCAGCTCAACAGGTCAACAGGCGAGAATCTCTTGGATACTCAGAGATTCAGGCTCAAAACCAGAGGTGACAGCACTTTTGTAGTAGCCACTCTCTGCTCTTTCATTGTAATGTCATTGCAGCATATCAACCAAGAAAATAAGCATTTGAAGTAGAAACTTATTCACCTTTTCTGATAAAGACATCGCTTCTGGGGGAAATGGCGAAATTATAGGGGTCTTTGGGGGATGCAACCAGCTAGAAGGATCCCAGGTGATCAAACATCTAAAGCAGACTATTAGCTGTACTTGTATGTCGGTGTCTCGTGTCCATAATTGCACTCAACTTCCATAGCTCTTGAACACACAAGGCCATTGCCTAGTGAAACTTTTCCAACCGCACAAACTGTACTTTTCTAATACTCTAATCTAATCCTGCATATAGATTCTTGTGTTTTTGTGCAGAATCTTAAAATAGAGATAAGTTCGGGTGGCAACAATCTTTAAAAAGCCCATGAAAACCTGGAGGGGATAATAAGTGCATTTTAATCTTTCTCTGCAGCCAGACTTGATGTAAATCTCTACTGTTCCTCCCCCTGTTCCCTCTGTAGCTATAGAGACGGAGAGCACGAGTTCAGGAGAGGACCTGCTCGTCCCCAGCCCCCCCTCACCTCCACCTCCACCTCGAGTCTACAAACCCTGCTTCGTATGTCAGGACAAATCTTCAGGATACCACTATGGGGTCAGCGCCTGTGAGGGCTGCAAGGTAGGGAGCTAAATTTATACAAAAACAACACACCCACGCTGAGCGTACGCTGCTTCACTAAGCAGCAGACAAATGCGAGCTTACTTGGAACACCTGAATGAGAAAGAGCTGCAGAGGGTAGAGCTCATTTAGTGTTTGCATAATGTTTCAGCCGAGAGGTCACAACCTTTACACCTCCCCCAGGATCAGTAAGCCTCTTTGCTTCATTTAATCCCACACACACACATAAATCTACACACACACAGATCTCTGCATGCAATTAGTACACCGTCTGATATTTGTGTACGGGACAGTGCAGACCATGACGCAGACAGACTCTCCAGGAAGGTCTGCTGCTTTTACTGCAGGTTCAAAGAACAGCTCCTGTGAAAGTTCTCTGTGCTGTGTCCACTGCTACCACCTTTTAATAATCCACATTTCTTTGTCTTAAGGGTTTCTTTCGGAGGAGCATCCAGAAGAATATGGTATACACGTGTCATCGAGACAAAGTCTGCATCATAAACAAGGTGACAAGGAACCGCTGTCAGTCCTGTCGCCTGCAGAAATGCCTCGATGTCGGCATGTCGAAGGAGTGTGAGTAGATTTCCCCCAAACACAATCGAGCACAAAGGACACGGAGTAACTTAGTGAAAGCGGTTTACAGAGTAGGTTAATGGCTTTTTAATTTCTAGCAATAAAGCAAAACAGAGCAGTCAGCTCATTTTCTGCAGCAGGAGAAACTTCATAATTACTGCTTCTCATTCGCAGCATCGTAACATTTTAAACCTTAATATCTGTCTCCCTCTAGTGGCTGTATGAAGTTAATACCTGCCATAAAAACCCAACATCAAATCCCTTATCACTAAACCCTTGGCTTTTTGGGAACTTACTGTTGTGTAACCATATTTTGGAGAAAAATTAAAGAATATTGAATCAAATTGATGCACCAGAGCCAAAAAATGGTAGGCTGTAATTTCTTTTCACTGTAACCTCTAACACTTTGCAAACACGCTGAAGCCCTTGGACAGAGTCACACCATCACCATGCTACTCTGCTTACACATTGAATCCTCATGCACACACACAGCACAGTTCCACCTTGCCTTCCAGCTTTTAAACCCGACTTAAACTTTTGTGCCAAATCAGCCAACACCCACTCTGTAGGTGCAGGTAGCCCTGTACTGCAGGGCTGTACGGATGTGCACCTATATACAATTTAAACTACCTTTGTAAATAATGCAAACTGCAAGCTTTGAGATTGTTCTTCTGGGTAGTAACATCCATAACATTTCTGGTATCTGCCGTTTATCCCGATTGAGCAGCGGTACATCTAATTTCCTCTGACGTCAATGATTGCAGTCTGATCAGTGCTGCTCAAGATTTATCAGCTCCATCTCCAGCGTAACATATTCAGATCCAGCCGTCATAGATTCCTGCGCACCAAGAGGCAGAGAATGACTCGCATTGCAATTGCACAAACAACCGGCATCTTAATGGAGAATTGCAGAGTGGCAAGGTCACTTAAATGCACAAGCAGAGTGTTAAGCCAAGGCATGAAGTCTCCACATGAGTATAAACAAGGCTTTACACATTGCCAACACCCCCCCACCCCCCTCATTACAATGTTGTCTACGCAGAGGTGGGGCAGCTTCACTCCACCATTACACCTCCATGTGTTACACACTACAGACGAAGAGTCACAGGGGTGTAAATATCCCACTGAGAACAGAGAGTTCTTTGTTTGACTGCAGAGGAGAGACAAATTCATGCAGGCAAATAAGATGCGACTAAAACTGCTTTGTTTTCAGATCTTTATATGATCTTTACACATTAAGTCAAGCAATCAAAGGGAGACGGATATGAAGATCCAAAGTGTGAGATTCCTGTTAAAGAGAAGTTGTTTGTTTGTACTGTCTTGTTTTTTCAAGCTTGCAGAATAGAAGTCAGAGACTTTCTGCTCAGACATTTTTCAAGCTTGAAAAAACAAAAAGGTTAAAAATGCAGAATCCCAAAACTGGCAGTAAATTATTGCAAAATTATAATTATGATCTTCTTTGATTGGCTGTTAATCTTCAGGAAAAGTAAGCAAAATGAAAAGCAAAAAAAAAAAAATGTAACCAAATTGAGATGGCTCATTTTTTTTATCATTGGCAATTTTGAACTATTGTAGTCTTCTTCTACTAAAAAGCAGACAGTAGTTTTCCGCTGAGAATATGTACTTTTATTTAAAGAAAATGGTAAAAAATATTCACAAAGAGGGACTAAAACACTCAGGAGAAAATTTAAAGAGTACCCTCTTTTTCTTGTAAGATGTTAAAAGATGAGTATGAATCTCTGCTGAATGAGATCTTCCTGTACTCAGTGGTGCGTAACGACAGAACAAAGAAGAAGAAGGAGGAGAAGAGGCAGCAGGGAGAGGTGGAGATCTACGTCCTGTCAGCAGACACAGAGCAGATGATTGAACGAGTCCGCAGAGCCCATCAGGACACGTTTCCCTCCCTCTGTCAGCTGGGGAAATACACAACGGTACTCCACAAGCCCTGATATTCAAATTTTAAAAAACAAACAAATTAAAGTTTGTGAGCTTCATGAAAAAAGTCTCATATTTTATCCTCCGCCTGCAGAGTAACAGCTCGGAGCATCGCGTCCCTCTGGATGTGAGTCTGTGGGACAAGTTCAGCGAGCTGTCCACCAAATGCATCATAAAGACGGTGGAGTTTGCCAAGCAGCTGCCGGGTTTCACCACGTTATCCATCGCTGATCAGATCACGCTGCTCAAAGCCGCCTGTCTCGACATTCTGGTCAGTTCATCACTTTATTTGTCTTTGGTGTGAGACATTTCAGTATCATCAGCAAATCCTATATATAAACATGATGTCATTTCAAATAAAAACAACTCAGACTTGTAAATATGAGGAAGTCATGCTTTTCCAATGAAAGCAGAAGCAAAGAAGCTTAAACTGCACATTACTTAAATGGATTTTGAATCGACAAGTTCTCATGCGACCACAAGACATCACCGAAATCTGAACTCTTTCTGCGGCACACTTATCTTAAAAACTTAAACTTCTCAAATTGCAGATCTTTCACAAGAAGAGTTCACTTCTCTTTTTGTCTAAACATGCCTGAAGTTACACCTAGAAATTCCCCCTAATGTCCTCCTTATCAATTACAAAATATTTCCCTTTTTGTCTCCAGATTCTCAGGATCTGCACTCGCTACACTCCGGACCAGGACACCATGACGTTCTCTGACGGTCTAACTCTAAACAGGACTCAGATGCACAACGCTGGATTTGGACCTCTGACTGATCTGGTGTTCTCCTTTGCTAACCAGCTGCTCCCTCTGGAAATGGATGATGCAGAGACAGGGTTACTTAGCGCCATCTGCTTGCTCTGTGGAGGTACTGCATTTTACTTCTTAGGACTCTAAACAGTGTACGGCTGATAAATTTCTCTAAGCTCTGAGCATCATGGTGTATCTTGCGCTTTTGCAGACCGACAAGATCTCGAGGAGTCCGATAAGGTGGAGGTTCTTCAGGAGCCGATCGTTGAAGCCTTGAAGGTTCGACATTCAATGATTTTTCCAAAGGGTTCATTTTTCATGGCAGCGAATTGTGTCATTTAAACAGTTCATCAAAACGTATCGAATTTGCCCTTGCACAGTTAATCAGATAACTATGGTCATCAAATGAATATAACAAAGTCAATGCAGTCAGCAGCCAACCATCTAGCAAATTCTGTTGTAAACTGCCTTGATTTTGTTTCATCTACCGGTAATGTCTGCCGTCTGACAGTTTTCCAGATTGAAATGTGTGATAGAAAAATGCAATGGCATCAGGTTTTTTCATAACAATGGCAGAAGGAAGCAAGAAGACACTGGGGCAGCTTAATAACGGTGTGCCAAAGGGGAAAAAATGGTGCAAAACAGTTGTTTTTGCATCACAGATATTCAAATTATCAAGTAAACACAAGAAAAAAGACATTTCACTAGATTTTGCTACAGCAGTGGAGTTGCATCCAATTGTAGGGAAATCAGACAAGAGTGGAATAAATTTGAATCTTTCTATGAAACACTAAATAACATGTACTTTTCTCTGATGTTAATGCGCAGATTTATGTGAGGAGGAGGAGGCCTGATAAACCATGCATGTTCCCTAAGATACTGATGAAGATCACTGACCTCAGGAGCATCAGTGTCAAAGGTGAGACGTGCACAGAGTAGACTGATTACTTTCTGCTCACACTGAGTTGTTGAGTCAGATCCTATTGACTTAGTTGGCGTAAGTAGCACTTTAATGCCTGAAACCACAAATTTTAGCCAGAAAATTCAGAAATTTTTTGAAGCTGAAATGTTCATTTCATTTATTACTGAAAACCAAAAAAAATAAAATGTCCTCAAAATTTAAAAAATATATTTATTTATCTTGTTTGACACATCAGATGTTTTTGGAAACTGATAAACTACAAGAGAACATTTTTATTATTTATTGGACTGTATTCAGTTGTTTTTTTAGTAATTTGTTGATCATACTGATTTGATTGAAGTATATAAAAGTATCTATCAAACATGATACAAAAGGCATTAAAGGGTTAAATTATGATGTATAATATTTGGAGGCTGACCTCTGCAAACACAGCAGTGTCTTAAACCAGAGATCGAACTATGTGAACATGAGAAGGATGTCTTCTCGGTTCAGACTTTACCGATAAGTTTATGATCTCTCCATGAGTTGGTCGTCTTCTTTAACAGGGAATTATTTTCATTTTGTAACTTGTCTTGATGTTGAAACACTCGATTATGATCCAGTGTTGTAAAAACTGCATCGTAGTGATAGTTTCACATATTTATCCTCCTTGTGAGATTGTGTTTTGAAAATTAAAGGCTTGTTTTCTCACCTTAACTTCTTCCCTCTGTCTCCAGGCGCTGAGCGAGTCATCACACTGAAGATGGAGATCCCCGGCTCCATGCCTCCGCTCATCCAGGAGATGTTGGAGAACTCTGAGGGGCTGGAGGGCCATGGAGCTGTGGGGATGAAAGGAGGGGGAGGGGGGAAGAGTAAAGGGGGAGACAAAGAGAAGGAAGAATCAGAGCCACCGTCATCGCCGGAATCAGTCCCCTCTGCAACCCAGAGCCCTGCACCCTGTTCGCCCTCTTCTCCCTCTGACTCCACCTGAGGTTATAGGATCTGCATATTTTCATACAGGGCCTCCCCCCTTTGGCAGAGTGTGGTACTGCAAGAAAACTACCAACACAGCAGATTCAGAGCAGATAAAAAACTAAGAAGAGACTATCTGGACGACAGAAAAATTAGAAACTCTCTGAGAGGGAGGTTAAACCTCTGTACAAAGCTGCAGAACTTAACTATGCTTTTGGACTGAGTGTGGCTCAGACATCCTGGTATCAAACATGAAATGCAATAACACACCATCACACATTATTATTATTTTTAAAGAGCCTGAAAGCTTTATTGTATGCAGCTTGTGTGGATCTACATGAAGGATTATCAAAGATGTGTGAACTGCAGACAATCAGGTTTGGACAGTATCCAGATTTGAACTTCTACACGTCACAAACAGCAGGGGATTTTCTGTTACACATTCTCAACTACTGGAAAATACTTGGTTTGGTTTGGCTCAGGAGGCACCTGGAGAGTTTGCAGAGGAAGGATGACAAACATTTCTGCACTAATTATTCAGCAACATGACAGAAGAGCTAGAGATGTAACCGTACCTCGCATAACGGTTCAAAATCAGTGCACAAAATACACTTCTTAGGTTTGCGGATTCAACAAGGCGCATACATTTTGGTTCCTAAAAGCAGCATAAGTCTTTTAAGACAGTTTTGCAGTCCACAAAAGTCAAGTACAGCCATGTGTAGAATCTATGAAATTGAATTGGTATGATTCTTATTGGTGATAAAGAAATTGCAATACCCTTTTTAAACAGCAGAGGGCGACATCCACCCTGTCCCTGGACTCTTATGTTACAGCAGTGGTTCTCAAGTCCAGTCCTCGAGGCCCACTGTCCAGCATGTTTTGGATGTTTCCCTGCTCCAACACACCTGATTCAAATGATCAGCTCGTTAAGAAGCCATTACAGAGCTTGATAACGAGCTGATCATTTGAATCAGGTGTGTTGGAGCAGGGAAACATCCAAAACATGCAGGACAGTGGGCCTCGAGGACTGGACTTGAGAACCACTGTGTTAGAGGACACTGCTTATAACACTTGAAGCTGAGTCATTGCAGCACCAGGTGAAGATTTTGCAGTTGAGGATGTACTATCAGTGTTTCCCACGCATAGATGAGACCCAGCCAGCCTGCCAAAGTATAATAATAACTACAATGTTTATTCATATATCCATAGACGACATAATGTCTATGGATATTATGATGTTGTCTTAATGACAAAGTGTTTATGTCTCCCTGGGGCGCTAATACATCCAACAGATTACACTGTCAGGCATTCCTTTGGCGAGTTTAGTTGTTTGTTACTCAGGTTTATTACTTGAAGCGCCATTAGCCCCCTTTCAAAATAAAAGCTTGCTGCCAAAAAATAAAATAAAATAACCCATATATGAGGCAATAAAAACAAAACGAAAAAAAGCATTATAAACTTGTAGCAGTTTTTTTTAGTGTAAAACTTTAAGAAATTGGTATCATCAACCCAGCATCTGAAATTGCATTGTATCATGACTTAAGTGTCTTGTGACATCTCTAGTGTCTGTGCTGCAATAAAATAACAAAAAGATAGCATCTAAGTTCAACAGAAAAGACACAAAGCAGCAAAACTCTATGCAACGTGAGCAGTGTCATCAGCACACCTCTTCTCTCTAACCAGCCAGAAGTATTACCTGCTGCAATCCTTTGAACATCATCTCATCTGTCATTAAGAGGTCTTCTTACTACGAGGCCAAAAGGTTTAGATCCATTTAAATGTCTAGACCAACAGATTTAGACTAATGCGGCCCCTTGGGGTAATTTGCAGACATTTTCAGGAGTGCAGTTTATGTGAGTGAAGGATTCCTCTAACAGTATGTTAAACATCTGCTCCTCAGTGAAAAGTCATGTACAGTATACAGAATCATTGTAAAATATTGTATATAAAACAACGCTTTGAAAGCTGTCAGACAGAAAGACTGATAAAAGAAGTTATTTTCCTAAATGCACATGTGTAAATACTATATCTCACCTGAACAGATCTTTAGCTTCATTTTCTGTTTTTGATCCTTTTATTGAAAAATCTGTCTATTGAGAATACACGCACAGCTGCCATTTCCACTGATCACATGTCAAGGGTTAGACCCGTAAACTCTGTTGTTAATTGTGCAGATTTATGGTATTGGAAACTTTTATCAGTTCACTGTTTCCAAAATGATCAGTAACTAAAATGTACGTCTTTAAAACAAATTATGCGTGCTCTCGGTCACTCTAATTTTCTCATAGTCACCCTGGCTAGTTGGCACCATAATCACAAGTCCGTCATCAATCATTTTTGTTCCTGGAGCTTCTAAGTACCATATTTGTTTCCAAGCTGGGACTTAAAGCTTAAGTTTACAGCTACTGCCAGATGCTGTTACCTAGATAAAAACAGGCACCAATGAGAGATGCCGTCTCATTGCGCGGCATACTTTGACAGTATTTTAATCTGAATGCATGTCTAGTCAAAGCTACAGCACATAGCTAAAGCTGGGGTCGCAGCTCCAGTTGATGGCTTAATATAATTCTTTACTACCTGGATTTAAACAAGCATCAATGAGAAACAGCATCTTGTAGCCTAAAAGGGTTTGCACTCATTTTGATTTGTAGGTTGTGTCTGATTAATCTGGTGTTTAACTGAATGGTCATCAACTAGCAAGGTGGATTGACAATAAACAAAAATGGCTGCTGTGTGAATAAACTGTCACTGTAAATGTATTTCCTTGTGTTTCTATGCATTATCCTCTGCAAGAAAATCCGTATTTGATTTGTTTTAACATGCAGGCGAGGCTCAACAAACTGTGAAACACTTTTACTCAAAACTGATCAAATATTGAGGTTTCCCATCAGTGGACACTTCCAACCAAAGCAAACCAAATACCAAGTGAACAAACTCCCTGTCCAAGTCTTTCCCACCTGGTTACGCCATCCTCGCTGTGGCACAAGAACAAGAACTGCTGACCACGTGTTGATTTTCATGCAGATGAAATCTGCGGATGTCAGGTTCTGCCAAAACATGTTTCAAAATGTACAAACCAAGTCTGATTTTTATACTCTGCACCATTTTTCTCTCAGTGTGTTTACACAGTGCCACTGCCTCACCACAGTAAACCCTGTCAGGTACAAATGTTCTCACCGTTGTCCTTTATAATGAACTGTGGGGTGAAACCCGTGAAAAAATACAGGGAGTTGAATAAAAAGGTATGATTTCTCTCTGCTCTTGAATACTGTATATTTGGTCTTTGATTCACTTTCAATCAACAGATTCACTGTGAGATCCAATCAGGTATTCATGAAAGAACTTGGCCAAGTATACCTATGTTCACCAAAGTATATTCGCCAACCATTCTTTCCTTGTTTCATTACTGCGTAGTTACGATCTCCACCTATGATTGGTGAACCAGGGAGGACTCACTCTTCACCCTTGCTTATTTCCCTGAGTGGTGTTTTTATTCTCAGATATTGAGTCTCATTTATCATCTTGTTTGCTGAGTGTTAAAGATGAATCAACAGCTTGTCACCGTCAATTATATTATTACTCAAAATACAGTAGAGTCAGTTGTAATCATTGGCAAAAGTTTTTTCCAACTGGGCCAATTAATTAATTGTGAGATTTTGTTGCATTAGTAAAGTTCTTAAAATGGCAAACTCAAGACAGGTTGATGTGCAAATACAGCAGTACACTCAGAGCCGATCCACTGGAGAGGAAAGCTCTGTGCTTCTGCTTTAGTTTATTGGTAGGGTTTCTTAGTTCTTAGGGTTTCATACTTTTAAAAAATCAAACTCTGTTTAGATAAAAACAAACTAAGGTTTTACATTTTTAAACTCTTTTTTTTCCTTCCACTAGTTAATAACTGGTATCTAAAAGTGTTTTATTGAATAGTACTTTACCACATATTTGTAATATATTCTTTAATTCAGTTCAAATAATTGAATAAGAATTTAGTTAAGTAATTCATTATGATATATTTATATGTTCTTTAATTCAGTTCAAATAATTGAATTAAAATTAATTCAGTTTTAGTTTGCTGTTCAAACATGTTGGTGACGCTTATGTACACTGTACACGCTGTATGGTTGGATCAGCACCAAAGTAAACAATCAGATAACAGCAAGTGCCAAACATTAAATATTTGTGAAGTGAGTGGCTCACCACCACCTAAGGTGGAGACATGTCCAGTCACTGTCTAATGGTAAAGTAAGGGTTTTATTTGGCTCTGTAAAGTTTCCGAGGCTGTAATGTAAATGTTATTTCAAATAATGAAACAATCATGCTCAGTGAAGCATTACAAATCTTCCAGCAGCTTTATGCAGACAGACAGATCATCCTGAATGCTGGACACTGAACGAGCTCCTTACATCTTGACCACACCTCATCATACACTGCAGCTATGGGTAAGCTTAAATGACCTCTTTTTCCACAATTTCTCTCTCAGAATCTATTTGTGAACATTAACTAAAAGAATGTTAAATGACAACTTAAATACAGTTAAAAATTTAAAATAAGTAAACATCAAGAAATTAAAACAAGAAAGTGACTTTCATCTGCAAATTATTAAGCATCTTAGTTTGCATGAGTGAAAAGGAGTAAGAAGTTTGAACTTCTCTAATCCTACCCCTTTAAAATTTTCTATACCTCCAAACTGAAATCATAACTGACTCAAATTTACCAACAATTTTTGAAACCTGTAATGTGATAAACAATTTATGACTCACATGGAAAGAATTATTTTTCATTAGACATACCTACTTTACAAATATATGTACCATACCATAAATGCAACATTTTAATCCAAATAACAATCAAGAACCTTGTGGTAATTATTTTTCAACATACCTCTGAAGAATTATTTCTTTATGCCTTTTTTTTTTTAAATAGAATTATGCCTAATTTTCTTTTTATTTCAATACTCTGTCTGTTCCACAGGTGGTGATACAGAAACTTTTCATTATTGATTTTCCTCTAAAATTATAATCTCCCTCTCTTTCACAAAACATATTCTGAATGTTTTTGGTAGCACGTAATTCCTTGCTTTAAATAATACTTGAGCTGTTTTACAGTCCTCCAAGTCATAACATGTTAGAGTTTTGGGTTTGAAAAATTAGTCATTTGTGTGTGCCTGAAAATCAACATTATTAATGATTCTGATCGTTCTTTTTTGCAGAATGAAAAGTGGTCGGAGTGAAGTTTTGTATGTTTCTGTACAGTAGTCTAAATAAGGAAGAATGAGTGAATTTTGGAGAATGTGCAGTGATTTCTGATCTAGAGCATGTTTTGCTTTAGCCAGGATTGAAATGCTGCAAGACAGTTTAGATATGATATGTTTAATTTATTAGATAAATAGTTTTGGTCTCAACACTCACCCCTGGGGGACACTACACACAATGTCCAGGCATTCTGACAAACACTCTCCCATCCTCAGGTCTGCTGAGCTGGCTGAGACAGGAGGCACAGTTGAAGAAGATGGTCCTGGTTGTTGTTTTTATCTCCTTGTTTCTGGATCATATGCTGCTCTCGGTGGTTGGTAGGTTAACTCATGATTAATGAGTGAATTGTTTTTAAAGACATTTCAAATCTGTATTTCACATTCATAAACATGATATGTTTGCATGTGTGGTGATAGGCTTGTTGGTGTATTATCTCAAGTGACCCTGAGACTTGACGAAAATTGATTATTTTTATAAACAAAGGATTTTTAATTTTCTTTCTCTGGCAGCTGTGTTTTTATCTTTTATTTATTCTGTACTTTGTTTTACTTCACTTTGTGGACAGTGCCCATCCTCCCCAGTTACCTGTACAGTGCTGAGCAGGCTGAAATCCTCTCCTCTGAGAACAGCTCTGACTCTACAGTGGATTTGACTTCTCCACACCAGAGTCCACTTCCCTCCAGGAACTTCACCACGGCCCAAAATTCCTCTGACTCAAACTGCTCGGAAGCGGGAGCTGAGCTGGAAGGAGTGAACATCAAAGTAGGCCTGTTGTTGGCCTCAAAGTCGACTGTTCAGCTCATCACGAACCCTTTTGTTGGACCGCTCGCTGACAGGTGAGTGAAACTGATCTGTGAAAGGCATTTATCAAACAATTTCTAAGCTCTATAAAACACACTGACTCAGTTTTCCCTACAACTACAGGGAACAAGAGATGCAGCTCCAAAGAGTTAAACAGTAGCCTACATGTTATTATTTCAAATTTTTTCAAGTGGAAGAGAACTAGTGGTGTCTGCCTTTTTACTGATTAGTTATGGTGATGTAGTGAACATCATAACTTATCTGGCTAATAGTGGTACATCTCTGGGCAATTTACTGGACTTCTTTTTCTTCTTTACAGAACAGAGTAAAAATAGACTTGACACTAAATTTAATTGGGAAAGCCAATAATTATGACAAATCTGATATATTTCATTAACAGCCTAAATTCTTTGAAAATAGCTTTGATGTAGCCAAACTATTTTGCTGTGTTGCTGTAGCTTAGCTCTCTACGTTTCTTTGAATGGTAGCCATAGATGCTAAATTTAATTTCATTTGGCTATCTACAGACTGATTTCAATCTGTAAAACTTAATTTAAAACCTGTGCCATAAATTTGAAAGTCAGGCTTGTTTGGATGTTTTTGCTATTGTTGGCCAGTGCTCCCTTAAAATAGAGATCTCTGCTACGTTCCAGTTATACTCGGAACTCCGAGTCGGATATTAATCTAGAACGCCCCCCTGAAATTGGATTCCCGACTCGGAAAATCGGACGATCTTCGCCAACCCCGACTTGACGACAACAGCTTTATCCAAGATGGCGGCGCAGTGTATCAGCAGTAAAGAGTAACACTAAAAGCCCTCGCAATGTTTTATTTATTAGCGCTTCTATCATGTTTATGTGAAATTAAATAAGTGGTACATGTTGTACTGCCCAACGTCTAACTGTGAACACGGTGCTATGGTGTTTGCCCGAGTAAAATACTGTGTTATGCGTTGTTTACAACTGGTATAGCAAACAACAACTCACAACGACAGCTGACAACAACCAACAACAGCTGACTACCGCTAACAACAACAGACAACGGCCACCGACAGCTGACAATTTTAATAACTGCTAACAACGGCTAACAGTTGGCGTCCATCTTGGTTTCCCGGATTGTTACCTGGAACGCCGTCAACTCGGGTGTAACGTCACTCCCAGCTCCGACATCCGACTTCCGAGGTAACTGGAACGCAGCATCTTCTGACCTGGCTAAATAAAATTTACATAAAATAAAATTTTGTATCAAATTAAAAAGTTTCCTTTTTAGCATATCATTTTAAAAAAGTTTTTTATATTTTTTTTTCTTACTAAAATCCCCAAACAACTATTGTGTTTTGTGTTTAAATCTGGTGGTAAACTATGTTTTAATTCTGAAATGTTTGTTGTACAGGATTGGGTATCACATCCCAATGTGTGCAGGATTTTGTATCATCACCTTGGCAACCATCTGTGAGTACATTTGACCTGTCTAGACATCGACTGTCTTGTGTGTGGACAACTTTTACACCGTCTCATGTCATTATACGAATGTGTAGCCAAATTACTTTCGGTATCTCTGGGAATTTTCTCCATTCCCCAAAACAGGCATTTCAACTGACAGAAGTGTCACTGTGATAACGTTCTCCTTAAACAGCTTATCAACATATTTCTAAAGTTTGTCCACAGCTCCATTAAGTTTGCTGGAGGAGGCGGGGTTTATAACCTATACTGCAACCAGTCACAAGGATACTTGTTTTTGTATTGAGTTAGGGGTGGTGAAGAATGCAGTGGCTGGAAAAGAACAGAGTTATTGTTTTGTGCGAAACAATTTATACTGATAGAAGTTTTGATGGTCAACTAATAATTTAACAGTCTTTGATTTTCAGATATTTTACAATTTCTTTACAATTTTACAATTTAAGAACTTCTTTATATCAGTGTTGTTTTTGGCAGGCATTTTAGATTTAGTTTTAGTCTTAGTCATTTTGACGAAATGCTTCTTCGTTTTAGTCCCATTTTAGTCATTTCTATCCTTGATAGTTTTCGTCTAGTTTTAGTCCGACGAAAACTCAAAAGGTTTTAGTCTAGTTTTAGTCGACGAAAAGGTGCCTTTTGAGGTTCGTGGTGTTCTTTCCCGACAGTTTGAAGCCGCAGCATGAGGAAGCTGTGGCTCCACAACTGTCGTCTGTCTCGTCTCCCCGTCCAAGACATTGCGTTTTATTGTCACTTGGACTGTATCTGAAGTAGGACCATAAATCATCCCTCTTTTTTCGGCCACCGGGCACCGCTGCTGTGCCTGCCGCCACGGTGTGTGTGTGTGCGCGCCTCGTCCACCTGCCGCTCTGTGTATGTGTATGAGTGTGTGCGCGCAGCTGTGCGCGAGCGAGGCTTTTGGTGCGTGTGTGATGGGGGCGTGACTGTTAGGACAAAAAAAAGCATGTTTTGAAACTTTGTTCGTCCACCTAATAACAATTTAGTCTCGTCTCGTTCTCGTCTGACGAAAATGAATACAATTTTCGTCACATTTTAGTCTTTACAGAGCTTTGGTGACGTTCGTCTTAGTCTCATTTTCGTCAGGGAAAAAAGGGGTCTGACGTCGTCATTTAAGTTTTCGTCCTGCCTGACGAAAACAACACTGCTTTATATTAATCAAAATCTGTCTATTTCTGCAAGTGTTTGCCATCTCTTCAAGCTACATCTTACTGCTGCTGGCAAGAGCAGTACAGGGTGTAGGTGGATCCTGCTTGTCTGTAGCAGGTATGATATACTCTATTTGTAATAGTCAAACACTTGCCCTAGGTTTCTGCCTGTTAAAAGGAAGTTTTTCCTTGCCACTGTCACTCATGTTAATTGAGATGGGTCAAATCCATCCCAACTTAAGGTTGGGTCTTGGTAATTCATCAAACAAAGTGTGTGGTGTAGACCTTCTCTTTTTTTAGGAAAGCGACTTGGGATAACGACTGTTGTGATTTGGCGCTATATGAATAAACTTTGATTTAATTTGATTTAATTTAAATCTAGTAAGCTCTCATCGTTGTTTTTACACAAATTTGAAATCCACCATGATATCTGAATTTCCCTCATTGTTATGACTGTTATTTGTGTTTTGCAGGAATGGCGATGTTAGCAAATATGTACAGAGATGAAAAGGAGAGGGGGCGTGCGATGGGAATATCTTTCACTGGTTTGGCTTTAGGATTGATAGGTCTGTATAAAGACACGGAAACAGAAGAAATGCTATTCAAAAATTTCATACACACACACACACACACACACACACATCCTGCTTTCATAGACCAGATAGGCTTTTTTAGACTTGTAAGTCTGGTGCTAACCAGTGAGGGTGATAATGTTTTGCTGTTTGATCAACTAAACATGCTCAGCATAGTTAGAGTAATTGATCTTTATGAGGAAAAAATGCTGTATTTCCAGTTGTGTTTGAAAACTGTGATACATTATACTGTATATACAGGTACTTACTAAAGTTGAACTTCTTTTCAGTGTTGAATTTGTGACTCATCACTTCTCCTCTGTCCCTGCAGCCGGTGCTCCTTTTGGCAGCGTGATGTATCAGTTTGTTGGAAAGATGAGTCCGTTCCTGGTTCTGGCGGCCATCGCTGTGCTGGGCGGAGGTATTGTGCAATTTTAGACAAAACATGGAACATTTAGTTCTTCATGTTACTTCAGTTATAAAAGCTTTTAAGAGCAGCTGTTACTTTGTCCACGTGCAGGTTTACACGCCCTCATCTTTCAACCTTCACATGTTCAAACTCAGGTAAAATTCTTTAATTCCATGGGTCAAAGTTTTCAGTGATCGAAGAAAGATCAATCCCCTTAGACTACCCAATTAAAGTCCATTGGAGTAGAAGAAAATTAATAAATCAGTTTAATTACGTTGCTTGTTTGTTATATTGTTTGGCAGCTTATTCTTAATTTTCAAATATAGTTTATGTTTTGCAAGCTACTACCTCTGAAAATCTGCTTCACTGTTTGTGCAGATGGAAAAGGGGACCCCTCTATTGACTCTCCTGAGAGATCCATACATACTTATTGCTGCTGGTATATTGAACCATGTTACCGTACCATATACAAAACAGTGCATATTATGTCATAGAATTAGGAGTCTGCTTTGGAAAAAGACATAAACTTGAAAACACTCTGTTGACTCTTTCAGGAGCCATCTGTTTCACAACTTTGATTATTGCTGTAATAGAGACTGCCCTTCCTATCTGGATGTTGAAGACAATGTGTGCAAGCAAATGGCAACTAGGTAACATTAAAAACATTTTTTGTACAAGTGCATGAGCTCAAAAACACACAAAGAGTTCATGGAATCAGCATAGTTTTATATTCATATTGCAGCTAAATCTAAAATTATGAAGTCCTATCAGCTGACTGCAGTCAATTGTCGGAAATTTAGAGGTTCTCTGATTGAAGCAAACCACATAAGTCAATATCATATCACTGAGAAACATGGACTCACTTTGACAGATTTGGGACACACACCGCCCAACTCTGCAGGCAGAGGGCGCTCATGTACAAATTAAAAGTCTCGGTTTAACCCAGATTACATTCACTCAACAAAAACTCTTAATAATGGCACATAACAGCATTTAATGACAGAAGATAGCTGTTAATGGTACATGTAATCATTACCACTCAGTAGAAATCAGTAGAACTCAGTAGAAATTCCCGAAAGGATTGGCCTCTGGCTACACTTTCTGTAGAAAAGATATAAATGTCAAAAATAGTGCCCAGTGGATAAAACTTAAGTGTCCCTGGATGCCTTTCCAGGATAAAAAGTGTAAAAAAAAAAGCCCTCTCGTTTTTTTTCATTGGATAAAACATCAAGTGCCCCATGGATGTCCTACCAGTAGACAATGAAGACAGTGCCCTCTGGTCACATCCAGTGGTTAATATTTTCTTTTAAAGTGCCCCTTGAATGCCCTGCTAGTTGATAAAGTGCAAAAAAAGAAGCCTCTGGGTTTTTGTTTCCCTCAACATGTTTGTTAAAAAACTATGTATATATGTTTGTCTCACACTGTCTGTGTTAGGAATTGTCTTTTTGCCAGACAGCATATCCTACCTCATAGCATCCAACATCTTTGGTCACCTCTCACAGAAACACAGCGGGAGGTAAGATGATGCAGCCAAACAGATTTTTTTTCTTCTGTTAATGCTGTCTGTGAATACAGCCAGGTTTTAACCAGGATTGGCAGAAGACACAGCTAAAGACAAACTGTGTCAGATCCACATCTTACTTATGATTATTGATACTGACAATATTGACAATTCAATGCTGCATATTCAGTGCTTTTTGTATGTGTTTGTCTCTTTGTCTCTCAGTTGGCTCTGTGCTTGTGTAGGAATGATCGTGGCAGGAATAACCACAATAACTGTAAGCCCTCTGGATAAGGTCACCTTCCATACTATTGACACCCTAAAATAACTCAATATTTAGGCAATGTAGTAATCCCAACTTTACTTGGAATTACAATGTGATCAATCTGTGAAACTCAACTCAGAAATACTGGGGCTGAAATCCAATCCAAGTGAATAATATGGAACATTGCTGAATTTCTATATTAAACATGTTTTCACGTTTGAAATTTAAAACGTCAAAACATTAATCCTCGGGTTGGTTGAGGTTGATTAAAATAAGGATGTCCATTTCTGTCTTTTGTGTTTCAGTTCCAATTTTCCCAGAATATCTATCATTTGCTTGTTCTGAATGCATTCATTGGCTTTTCAGTCGGTAAGTAATGCTTCTTATTTTTTACATATAGTTTAGTCACTGACCTTAAAAACAACATGATCAATCTTGTTTCTAACAGGCTCAGTGGACTCCTCAATAATGCCCCTCATGGGTAACTTAGTAGATCTGAGATATCGACCGGTTTATGGTACTGTTTATGCCATTGCTGATGTTGCAATATGCATTGGATTCAGCATAGGTAAGCATTTTAATATTACCATTGAAATAATGATGTACATGGGAAACAATCAGTGTGTGTTTATCATGAAAAAGTATACTAAAAAACAGTGTAAAGAGGCTGAAAAGATAATCTGCCTGATGACAGACCTTGAATCAGGCTGATCAGTCATGGTGTTCAAAGACTGACACCCACTTTAAATCAATCAACTTCAAGCTAATGACAGAGCTACAGCTTATTAGTGCTCAAATGTCTAGGTCTTTTTCTCTTCTTTGTTTCTTTATCTTTTTTTCTCTTCTTTTCAAAGGTCCAGCTGTCACTGGCCCCATAGTGGCATTGATCGGCTTCCCCTGGCTAATGACCATAGTTGGGGCAGTAAATATGGTCTTCGCTCCTCTCTGCATCTTCCTGTGCAGACCATCTCAGCAGGAGGGACATTTGGTAAGAGCTGGGAGGAAACTTAAATAAAAAAAAAACAAATCTTTATAATAGCTTGATCCTAAATAATGAAACTGCAGGTACTGTATATGTACTTATGCATGACGTCTGTTTCATCTCTTTCAGTTAATATCCAAAGGAAATTAAGGGAACTCATGCTGGACTGATTCATTAGAATAACTTAAATTCCTCTATCCTGACCTTCTCCATGATGTTGCACTTTATGAAAATAACACCATAACAGTTTTTTAAATGATGTGTCAAATCTTGTACAAATCCAGAGGACATAATACATATTTCTGCAGATGTCTGATTCTGCTCAGGACATTTACATTTAGTAAGACATTTTCTTTGAACTTCTCTCGTGCTGCTGCTTTTGTTTGTTTCCCACACAGTCTGTCTTTTAAAAAAGAGGGATGATAATGAGGGGAAAGTTCAAACTTTGTTTCCAGAACGGCAGGAATTGCTGCTATCGTCTGTCTAGAAAAGCTGCAATTTCATAATCAATGCTCCAAGCATGTCACATAACTGCTGTACAAGGCCTCTCCTTTACAAAGCAGTACAGTAGCACCGTCCATCTAACAGTTTCATCAGTTAAATGCTGTCGTACTTAGAGGCCTCAACCTTTACTTCCCTTCAGAATAAATGTACTTTTCTCATAGATGCATTCAAAGAAATGACTTTAACTTTGTAAATGTTGTCCATCTATCTTTGTTTGATATTCTGACATGGTGTTTGAGATTTTTGAATGAATAATGCACCAAGTTTTTTTCGCCTTGAATAAAACATGTTGGTACATAGGCAAGCCTGTATCTCCATAAGATGTCCATGCGAGTCATCACACTGAAGATGGAGATCCCCGGCTCCACGCCTCCGCTCATCCAGGAGATGTTGGAGAACTCTGAGGGGCTGGAGGGCCATGAAGCTGTGGGGATGAAAGGAGGGGGAGGGGGAAGAGTAAAGGGGGAGACAAAGAGAAGGAAGAATCAGAGCCACCGTCATCGCCGAAATCAGTCCCCTCTCCAACCAAGAGCCCTGCACCCTGTTCGCCCTCTTCTCCCTCTGACTCCACCTGAGGTTATAGGATCTGCATATTTTCATACAGGGCCTCCCCCTTTTGGCAGAGTGTGGTACTGCAAGAAAACTACCAACACAGCAGATTCAGAGCAGATAAAAAACTAAGAAGAGACTATCTGGACGACAGAAAAATTAGAAACTCTCTGAGAGGGAGGTTAAACCTCTGTACAGAGCTGCAGAACTTAACTATGCTTTTGGACTGAGTGTGGCTCAGACATCCTGGTATCAAACATGAAATGCAATAACACACCATCACACATTATTATTATTTTTAAAGAGCCTGAAAGCTTTATTGTATGCAGCTTGTGTGGATCTACATGAAGGATTATCAAAGATGTGTGAACTGCAGACAATCAGGTTTGGACAGTATCCAGATTTGAACTTCTACACGTCACAAACAGCAGGGGATTTTCTGTGACACATTCTCAACTACTGGAAAATACTTGGTTTGGTTTGGCAAGAGATGTAACCGTATCTCTCATAACAGTTCAACATCAGTGCACAAAATACTCTTCTTAGGTTTGCAGATTCAACAAGGCGCATACATTTTGGTTCCTAAAAGCAGCATAAGTCTTTTAAGACAGTTTTGCAGTCCACAAAAGTCAAGTACAGCTATGTGTAGAATCTATGAAATTGAAATGGTATGATTCTAATTGGTGATAAAGAAATTGCAATACCCCTTTTAAACAGCAGAGGGCGACATCCACCCTGTCCCTGGACTCTTATGTTAGAGCAGTGGTTCTCAAGTCCTGTCCTCGAGGCCCCACTGTCCTGCATGTTTTGGATGTTTCCCTGCTCCAACACACCTGATTCAAATGATCAGCCCGTTAATAAGCCGTTACAGAGCTTGATAACGAGCTGATCATTTTAATCAGGTGTGTTGGAGCAGGGAAACATCCAAAACATGCAGAACAGTGGGCCTCGAGGACTGGACTTGAGAACCACTGTGTTAGAGGACGCTGCTTATAACACTTGAAACTGAGTCATCGCAGCACCAGGTGAAGATTTTGCAGTTGAGGATGTACTATCAGTGTTTCCCACGCATAGATGAGACCCAGCCAGCCTGCCAAAGTATAATAATAACTACAATGTTTATTCATATATCCATAGACGACATAATGTCTATGTATATCATTATGTTCTCTAAGGCCCGGACTACACGTATATAGATATTTATTTATCAGGATATTTTTGTACTCCCGTCTCTATAAATGTATCTGTCCACACGTGTTAGTTCTCAAAATATCTGCGTCCACACGTAGCCTTCAAACTTAATCCTATCTGGTGCCGCTTAAACAAAGCTACCTGATTGGCCGATGAATCGTAACAGCATGATGCGTCATGCATTGTTTGCGGAAGCTACACCAGTGCGTCGGGTCCATGTGACAGACCATTTGACCAATAAAAGTATTGGGCGCTGCTGGTGGATGTACACGGACCCACTTATACGGATATTTTTTTATTTCTCCACTTGTTTTTTCGGATTCAGATTTATCCGGTTTGAGTGCTCCAAACTCCCGTTTTGGTGTGGTAGGGAGGCCTACTCGGACATAAATATGTGCGGTTTGAAATATATCCGCATTCGTGTAGTTCCAACTACACGAATGTTTTTCTTTGTTTCCCTGGTCTGGCTTGACTCTGTTTCAGAGCACCCTCCCCCTCCCCGGTCGCTGAGGCTGAGTGCGACTCCACACCTGCACTGCATCTGCATTCAAGGCCCTTTAAGAAGCCAGCAGCCCTCAGTCTCAACGCCTGAGTATTGTCTTCACTCCTCAGTGGTACAGACGCTTCTCCTGGCCTTCTCCTTGGATAAGTGCTTGTGACTTTTTTGCTCCCTGGGATTCTTTGTATATCTTCTCACTTTCATCTCCTCTGCCTCTCCACAGTGTCTCCAGCCCACACAACAGCTAGCCAGCAAACCGGACTTTCTCTCGTGCCTTTTTCCCTGAGTTGGACAATGAATACATCTTTAAGTTGCTATTTGCCTCTGTGTCTGCTTCTGGGTCCACAAGATACGCCACATGCCACATGGTGTATGTATACTCAGCTATTTAATCTCATTTATCATATTTCAGTCAGGACCACTTTTGTCAAAATCAATTATTTATTACAAGCAAACATTTTTACATTGGCGGTACGGCTCTGTTCTGAGAGTTCCCTGCCCTTCATATGCATACATGAAAAGCCAAGGCAGAGAAAGCAGCAGCAAGTAAATATGATTAAGACAAATAAATTAAAATCCCCCAAAACAACCATACCAGGCGACCCTCTCGGCTTTCATGTGCTACATGAATGTACCTACAGGGGAGGGAGAGCAGCAGCCAGTAGCAAGAAACTATGAAGCAACCTACCCACCTCCAAAGCTTGTGTTGTACAGGTTACCTGCAAAACATGATCGCAGGATTAATTTCATCCATACACATATTTATAATTGGGAATATCTAAAGAATACAATAGATATGGGACAGAATTATGGCGCAGCAGCATTTTTCAAAGCACTCATGGCTAATTGAGCGTAAGAATTTCTTGAGCCTCAGGCCTGAGGTATCATTCATATGCTGATGAGGACCATCGACCCATAGCCTTGAGCGTCGAGACATGGACAATGGAGGATGCCGTTGTAGCGCAGAGTTGCGCTTGGGTGGGAGCCAGCAGGATTGGCAGAGGTGAGCAGAAAACCACGATCTGGATACTGGTTTCCCTTCCTCAGTGGCAAAGAGAGGCTCTTGCTGGCTGGCCAGTGGCTGACCTCTCAGGAAGAGGGACATGGAGGACAAAGGACAAAGTCAGAGTTAGTTTGAGAAATAAAATGTGCGTTCCTTTCTCTTTATTAGTTTTTGAGTGCTTAGGAATAGAGTGAAATGGTAAGGCTTGATTTCTATGTCAGCAAGGGTGAGGTCATGTGTAGGATCGAAAGAATTAGTGCATGTTGTGAATTCACTACATCTGAGAAACCCCTAGAAAGCTGTGAAGAATGTTGTTCCAAAGCAAATCAGTATCAGTATTTCTGGAGTTTGTATGCAGAAGCAAAAACAACTCACTCGCAAGCAGCAGGATTACTACGTTACAATGCCGATGCAGACTGCCGTGCAGCAACACACAAAGCAAATGTAGCCTACATAAATTGCAGGGGTGAAAGTTTGCGTATCAGCTAACTTTCTCCTCTGGGTGTGAGAGAAAGGCCCACAGATTGTGCAGGAAAAAGCTTTATGCCGAGTGAAATGTCTACTGATTAGAACAAGGGGCCTGTTCTATGAAACAGGATTACTGTTTAGCGAGGTAACTTTGAGGGTAAGTTCGGGGTTTCCTGTTCTACGACGCAGGTTCACGTCTTAGCGAGGCGAGTCTCCATGGCAACGTATGCTGAACGGCTAACCTGCGCCGGGGCAGGTAAGGTTCCAGATTGAACTCACAAAGTAGAAAAACTCCGCCCACTGACCAATGAGCTCTCTTGAAAAATGGCTTGTCCTCGGTGCTCACATTGTCCGAGGAGCAAGAGTTTTCAGGGACCGCATGGACCCACTTACTTTTCCAGATGACCACCTTTATGAAAGGCTCATATGGCCTACATATCACACAAAAAAGTAAATACGATAGGAATGAACAAATGAATGAATTCACCTTGGAAATGAATTAGACATGTCTGGTGCATGTTTAAACCACATGTTGAACAGTGCTATTTCAGGGTGATGGCATCAAAGATTTTTTGCGCACTATACTTACGCATTGAGACTGTCGTCAATTTTCTGCCAGCATTCCTTCCGTGCTTTTGCGGCGACGACGGTGTTGCTTTTGAGGTTTATGATAGATTTGAATTCTCCATACTTTCTCATGATTGTCTCCTGCTCCTCGTTTGTAAAGTACGCGGTCCTTCGCTCTCCGGCCTGCTCTCTCTGACGCTTCAGACTGGTCCATGTTCGCGATTGGTCAGATGCGGCGGGCTCCGCCTTACATGCGTGCACGTGCTCATAGCAAAGCTGTATCCACTTCGGAGGTTGATAACCAGCGTCGTAAGACCGTTTAGCGAGACCACTGGCTACCACGCTAAATTGAGCGGTCGAACTTGCTTCGTAGAATAGGCCCCAGGTCAACTACGGACTAATTAAGTCTTTGGTTGAATCTTTGAATGTACACAGCAGCTTTGCTGAAAATGAGTTGTAATATTCCTAGAATAATGTTCCTCCATAAGTCATGGCTAAATCAAAAATGATGGCGAGATATGTGTCCAGTTCAGTTCTGTGTGCTGAAAACACTTGACACATGACATCTCCAAACAGGCCGAAAGGTACCTGACTTCAGCTAAGGTCGGAGATTTGAACAGCCGGGGATCACTATCTTTCAGCTCACAGACTCGTCTCCGCAATCCACAATGTGCCTGTCGTTGTCAGAGCCCAGCAAGATTAATGTCAATATCTGTGAGGATTTGGCTCCACAGATTATGTGTAATTGCAGCTGTGGGAGGGAAGTATGGGACGCCGGTTGAGACAGGGACTGCACTTCCCAGGGTCCTTTGCGCGATGCTGACACTGTCGTCGGTTGTTGCTGGAATTCAGCGCGGCGAATGCAGGTGAAGGCTGGGATGGAGGAAGACAGCACAGCACGTGCCGAACTGGATTCTGAGGCTTTGATCCTTGAAGACATGTGGGTAAGTGATAACTGGATGCTGGATAGTACGTTCAGGATGGGATTGTCGTCCACGTCCGCGGGTCTGGTAGCCGGGGTTGGGCCTCGCGCTCTGCGGGCGGCGGCGGTGACGCAGCGGCTGAAGCTGGAACTGATGTGACACTGCGGGAACAGCTTTCTTTTCTCGGTTGCTTTTCTAGAGACAGAGGAGGAAGCTCAGGTGGATGCTGTATGTGGATATTTTCCATAAAAAAGGTGAAAAGATCTTGTTGTAAGGCACTCATATATCCTTGTCATTGCAAGGACTGGCTTCCTTGACTTCACATTGCTGGTGTTGCGTTTCAGAAAAGCAGTCAATCTGCCATGGATCCTCGTCGTGGGCAGGGATCAACATGATGAAGAGCATGGTAGGAAAAGCAAAAACGCAGATCTGAGTGTTCTCGTGAGTGGGAGCATGCAGAGCGGATGCAGCCTTGAGGAGC